TTTCATCCTCCCTTCTGGGATCAACAGGCAGCTCAGGCCTGTGTTTGCTAACAGCCCCCTGGTCAAAGAAAGTTTCTTGGCTGAGTGTTACAGTTGAGGGCTAAGAGTCCATCTATGGTAGAAGGGACTGGCCAGGTGACACAAAGGTAAGGATACTGGGAGAGGTGAAGAATTGGGAGCCTGCATTGTGATGCAGTGGGTTAAGCCCCTGCCTGCAAAGCCAGTGTCCCATATGGATACTGGTTTGAGTCCCGGTTGCTTCACTTCCAATCCAGCTCCCTGCTAATATGCCTGGGAAAGAAGTCTAATCCTTGGGTTAGAAACCTGAATCCTGGGCCAGCACCGTGGCTCACTTGGTTAATCCTCCACCTGCGGCGCCAGTATCCCATATGGGCGCCGGGTTCTACTCCCGGTCGCTCCTCTTCCAGTCCAGCTCTCTGCTGTGGCCCGGGAAGGCAGTGGAGGATGGCCCAAGTGCTTGGGCCCTGCACCTGCATGGGAGATCGGGAAGAATTACCTGGCTCCTGGCTTCGGATCAGAGCAGCTCCGGCTGTAGCAGCCATTTGGGGAGTGAACCAATGGAAGGAAGACCTTTCTCTCTCACTGTCTATAACTCTACCTTTCAAAAAAATCTACTAAATATAAAAATACAAAAACGAGAGAGAGAAAAGAAACCTGAATCTTTGGGTTCCTGCATCCACATGGGAGACTCAGATGGAGTTCCAGGTTCTTGGCTTCCATCTGGCCCAGCCATGACTCTTGTGGCTATTTGTGGTTGAACCAGTGCGTAGAAAATCTCTCTCTCTCTCTCTCTCTCTCTCCCCCTCTCTCTCCCTCCCTCCCTCCCTCCCTCTCTGTAACTCCGCCTTTCAATCTTTTTTTTTGAAAGTCAAAGTTACAGAGAGAGAGAGTCTTCCATCCGCTGGTTCATTTCCCAGTTGGCCACATGGATTGATTGGCTGTGCTGATCCGAAGCCAGGAGCCAAGAGCTTCTTCTGGGTCTCCCACATGGGTGCAGGGGCCCAAGGACTTGGGCTATCTTCCACTGCTTTCCCAGGCCATAGCAGAGAGCTGGATGGGAAGTGGAGCAGCTGAGTCTCAAACCAGCACCATATGGGATGCTGGTGCTTCATGCCAGGGCGTTAACCTGCTGTGCCACAGCACCGGCCCCTCAAACAATCTTTTTTAAAAAAGAATTGGAACAAGAATTTACTGCTGCAGCGCCTCAAGTAAAAAATGTCAGAGAGTACATCTCATTACTACAGTTGCAAATAGAATTTCTGGCTCTACAGTGGCCAGTCACTGGCAAGTTCTAGAACTTTCTGTGTAGGATGGGCTGAGTCCAGATGGATGGCAATAGACATTCATAGGTGGTCTGCTCTGTGGAAAGGGAGGATGTTGGCTTTTCTTGACTGTCCCACCCCTGGCAAAGACTCCAAAGAAGCAACCATGTGTTTGAGGGGAGGTGGAGTGTATTGAATAGGTGGAGCATGGAGGATGTTTTCGGACTCTGAGACTATTCTGTACAGTATTGTAATGGGGGATGCTTTTGTCAGAGCCCATAGAACGTTACAGCAGAGTGAACTGCAATGCATGAGCATTGAAAACAAGTCATCTAGGAGGTCAGGGATTGCACTCGGGACTCCCAGGTGTGGGGCAGGTGGAAAGTTTGATGCATCCTAGACACAGTGGCTGAAAACTCTGGTCCTGCACCGAGCTTTGCTGCCAGAGTTTGACAGAGAGAATTAGCATAAACCTACACTGGGCTCACAGGTGATCTATGATTTGAATCAGTAGACTTTACTGAATATTCTGGAACACAAGAACTAGGATAGCGCACGAGCCTGGGCTGTCAGGGATACGACGGCACCCGGGCCTGCTCGGCCTCCTCTTGCATGAGTGCCCCCTGCCCCCAGCCCCCTGTCCCCAGCCAACTCACTAGACATCAGCTGCTCCACCTTCTGCTGGCTCCTACAACCCAAGCTCTGTCTTGCCTTGGGCCCTTGTCCTTGCCTGGAACGCTGCGTCCCCATCCCTTCCCGTGGCTCTTTCTGCTTTTGAAGTCTCCGTTTAAATGATGTTTCCTCAGTAGGAACCTTTCAGTCCCTTCCTCTGGAAGGTGAGCTCCATGTCGGTCTTTCACTAGAGTGTCATTCCCAACACTTAAAACATTGCCTGGGCACATAGCAGGTGCTGCATAGGTATTTACGGCATGAAAGGACTACTCATTGACCCTGAAAGGACCTCTGCTTGGGAGTGGGTGCTGTGGGGACAGCCAGGAAGTCCCACATCACATATCCACATGTATTTTTTTTAAAGATTTATTTATTTTACTTGAAAGTCAAAGTTACAGAGAGAGGAGAGGCAGAGAGAGAGAATCTTTCATCCGATGGTTCACTCCCCAGTTGGTCGCAATGGCTGGAGCTGAGCCAATCTGAAGCCAGGAGCCAGGAGATTCTTCTGGGTCTCCCACACGGGTGCAGGGGCCCAAGCACTTGGGCCATCTTCTACTGCTTTCCAAGGCCACAGCAGAGAGCTGGACAGGAAGTGGAGCAGCCAGGTCTCAAACTGGCACCCATATGGGATGCCAGCACTTCAGGCCAGGGCGTTAACCCACTGCACCACAGCGCTGGCCCCCTCCATATGGATTAAACTAGGAGAATCCATGCAAACTTCCTGGCTGGCTCCTGCTATGGCCACTAGTATTCTAACAAATGCGTGAAAGCAATTTGATGTTCAAGCATTGGCCCAACGGGTTGGGACAAATGCTAATGGAGAGGCAAAATATACCCCTGTACAACAATTACAGTCATAGTAGAATCACACTGGTGACTTGCAAATTATACTTTAAACCAGAAACCAAGTGTAACAATGACTATGGACTGCTGAGAAACAAGACCAATAATTGTATACCTGGCTGAGATAGCATCGGTTAGAGCAGAGGAGTAATGTGTTTTGGACAAGGAAGGATTTAGAGTATTGCAGTCCTTGTCACCCATCCAAGGAAATACTTGGAATGTATTCTAACCAAATGATGATCAATCAGATTATGGAGCTCATGGTTTGGAAAAAAAAAAAGTACAGGAAACAAGGATGGTTATACAAAGGGGGAGATACTGATAATGTGACTATAAATCTGTAAAATGTTGAGAGCCTTTCTAAGTAGAAAAGGGAATTCCTAATAGAACCAAGTTCCAAAACTACTTAGCGTCAAAGTTGTGTGTGTGCCTGTGTATGTGTGTGCATGCGTGTGTGTGTGTGTGCAAAAGAGCATACACAAGGAACAGAGAGGGAAATACAAAATTGAATGGGGAAATGAAAAATCTCAAGGAAGAGAAGAATGGGAGAAGTAAAAGAAACTGGCAGCATAGGGACTGTGATTTTTACCTATTGGTAGAGAAATACAAATTTAGTAATAACCATGAATGATAAAAAAATAGCATATTTTAAAAATTAACAGTGGAGGAAAAATGCAGAAAATCAGAGAAAGCAAAGCCAAAAGAAGCAAAATGAAAAATAGTGAAAAATATAGAAAATATAAAACCAAGGAAGTAAAACATCACAATTATAATGTACTAAATCCATCTATCAAAAGACAAAGATTGGAGCCGGCACTGTGGCGTAGCAGGCTAAGCCTCTGCCTGTGGTGCTGGCATCCCTTATGGACGCTGGTTCAAGTCCCAGTTGTTCTACTTCCAATCCAGCTCTCTACTAGTAGCCTGGGAAGGCAGTGGAGGATGGCCAAAGCCCTTGGGCCCCTGCACACATGTGGGAGACCTGGAGGAAGCTCTTGTTTCCTGGCTCTTTGGATCGGCCTGGCCCAGGCCATTGTGGCCATCTGGGGAGTGGACCAGCAGATGGAAGACCTCTCTCTGTGTCTGTAACTCTGCCTCTCAAATAAAAAATAAATAGATATTGAAAAAAAGAGAAAAATTGTCATATTAATTATAATACAAAATTCAGGTAGAATGCATTTCTAGAAATATATTATGTATTTTGTATGCATGTATTTTTGTTTAAAAAGTGATAAAGACTGGGCATTAAGGACAGGCAAGGACATCCTAAAGTAAGAAAAATGAATGAGCGTGAATGGCAGCATTTATATCATTTGAAATCCAATTCTAGGCCCACAACCAGGGCACAGAGGAAAAACATGTAACAAGGAAAAGTTAGCCAATTGGGGAAGCTCTGTATAAGTCACAAATCTTGATAGGATAAACTATATATATATATATATAGTTTATAAACAATATAAATATATATTACTCTGTGTGTGTGTATAAAGCAAAAATCTCAGAAACACGGGGAGAAATTGACAAAAAAAAAGTTCATTGTAGAACAGTTTTAATATTCTTTCAGAATTTGGCAGTTCAAGTATACAAGACAATGATATAAGGGATTTAAAATACATAACAAACAAAAATTTTTCTCTTATATTCACTTAACACAAATACATCATAATTTTGATTAATAATATTAGAGAAAACTTTGAGTAAATTTTCAAAGCAGAGATTTTTTCCTTCAATTATTTCAAAAATAAATCAACAATAAAATTTTCAAATCCTCTACTTATTGAGAAATTAAGAAATCTCTCCCACATAATTCTTCCTTCTTAGAGAGATCAAAATTGAAACCGCAAATTAAGGATCCAAAAGGGAAAAGAAGAAAATATTACATTAAAACCTTTTGGATATAGCTAAAGCGGTGTTCAGGGGAATATTTGTAGCCTTAAATAATTTTATTGTTTAAAAATGAAACACAACAAAATATACAAACTCATGACTATCACAATGCATTTGAAACAATTTCCATATTATTTTTCCTTGATTATTAAGAGAACGACTAGGCAGGCCCCCGTGCTTCCAGTGATTTGGAGATTTTCTTCACTTGAATTATTTTCCTCTTTCATTTCTTACCTTTGTCAATGTTACAGTGAGAACGAATAAAGTGCTCAAGAATTTGTCTGTCTGCAAAACAGGATGACAATTTCCACATGAGTATTTAAATGCTAAACAGGAAAATTCTGAGGAGGTGGAGAATATGATAATACAGTACTATATAAACAGATTTGATAAGAAGTCAAATATTATCAAAGGATATTTTGTCTAAGAAGCAGTTTCACAATTACTGACAAGAGTAAACTTAATTTTCAAAAGAGCAGTAGGCTCACTGAGGACAACGTGGATCTGAGAACAAAGCAGACACAGCTTCAGTTCTGTGCTGGCGTGGGTTAACAGGCCATTGAACCCCTCCGCTTCTTCAGCTGTTCACCTTGGAAGTCAGTTCCCATTCCTTACCTTGCACGGTTGTTGGAATGGACCAGGGAGGGATGCTCTGTGTGAAGCACCTGGGCAGAACTATCCTATCGAAGACACTCAATAAATAGTAGCTTTATCCTTTTGTTACTGGTGCCCAGTAGCAGACAATGGTGATAAACAATAGAGGTTATTATTCCAAAATTTTCTTAGGGATATTTTTCCATCCAACAACATTGTTCAGTTTTGTTTTTCTTTTTTATTCTTTTTTAATTTATTGGAAAGGTAGAGTGACAGAGAGAGAGAGACAGAGAGAGAGACACACACACACAGAGATTTTCCCATCTGTTGGTTTACTCCCCCAAATGTCTGCAAGAGCTAGGGTTGGGACGTGCTGATCCAGGAACTCCATCCACGTCTCCCATGTGGGTGACAGAGACCCAGTACTTGGGCCATCATCTGCTGCCCCCCAGGTGCACATTGCAGGAAGCTGGACTCAGGAGCCAAGCAATGTGCACCTGGATCAGCATGTCCAGCTCTGCCCAGCACTCCAACATGAAATGCAGGTGTCCCAAGCTGTAACTTAACCTGCTGTACCATAGCGCTTGCTGGGCTTTGCTATTCTTGAATTATTTGCCTCTGAAAAAGATCCTGGCCTCCATTTCTTCACCTGTAGAATGGAGGACTCTTATCTGATTCTGAACATCTACAAGGGGTCTTCAAAAGTTCATGGAAAATGCATGTTATGGAAAAGATATGCATGAATTTCAAAATATTTTTAACAAACATCTTTTAATTCCAGTTTTCCACAAACATGTTGATCCCCTAATCCTAATCACTGGTACATATTTGTTTAATGGCACGGAGTGGAACTGTTGTACAACTTTGCTCACTTCCAGAAACTGTCACCTGTACAGCCCAAAGCAGAAAGAAGTAAATGCAAGTGATAACACATTACCATGTACAATGTTTATGTCATTCTGCTCGATGTCACAAATGCCAGGTGAGGCTAATAGAGCAGGGGTGTGTGTGTGTGTGTGTGTGTGTATGCATGCACATGTGTGTCCCAGTTTTCTCTCATTGTATTTGCATTTATTTGCTTTTACAATGCCATGTTTAATTTTGTATTTTTAAAAAGATTTCCTTTTTAAAAATTTTATTTATTTGATACATACAGACAGATATCCAGAGAAAGATAGAGAGCTCTGAGTCCACTGGTTCACTCCCAATGCCGGTTATGTCTAGGGCTGGACTAAGGCCAAAGCTGGGAGCCAGCAGCTTATTCTAGGCTTCCCATGTGGGAGACAGAGACCCAACTACTCAAGCCATCACCTCTGCCTTCCAGGGTTTGCACTGGCAGGAAGACTGTAGTCAGGAGCTGGAGATCAGCCACAGGTACTCTGAAGTGAGACAGGGGCATCTGAACCTGTGTCGTAATTGTTAGGCCAGACAGTCACAGCTTGTGTTTAATTTTGAACCATCCCTACCCTACTCCATATCTTTGTGGGGCCCAGCATTTTTAATTGAAGTATACTTTTCAAACAGTAAAACGCATGGATCTTATGTGATAGGTTGGTGAACTGGAACATGCGTACCTGTCATCCACACCCATAAAACGCACAATGATACAAGTCATTTCCACCATCCCAGGAGACCCTTCCAGCTGCTGCCCAGCCAACACCTCCTGCCCCAAGACAACACCTCCTGCACTGAGTTCTTTCATCACAGCTGAAAGTTTTGCCTGCACAGACTTCAAATAAATGAAATCACACAGAAGGCATCCTTCGGTGTCTGGCGTCTCTCACGCAGCATAATGCTTTTGAAGTTCAGACATTTGTTGTAGTCATCCACCACTGGTTTCTCCATGCTATCGAGCAACATTTCACTATGTGAATATCTCCCAGCTCATTTAATCCTCTCTTCCTGTTGATAGAGATTTGGGTTGTGGCTAGTTTGGGGCTCTTAAGAATAAAGTGGTTATGCATATTCTTGTACAAGTCCTTTTGTGGACGCACATTTACTTTTCTCTTGGGAAAATACCCAGAAGCAGAATTCTGAGTGTGGAACGGGTTCATGTTTAACCCTACAGGAGACCGCCAGACCTGTTTCCAAAGGGATCGTACTCTTCGATATTCCCAGCTGCAGTACCCGGGAACAAGACTTGCTATCGCCAGCAGTTGCTATTGTTGATCCTTTTCCGTTTAAGCAGCATCTCTATTTTACACCCTGTGCTAAACATTTTATTTTAAAATAAGCAAAAAAAAAATTCTCCCTTCTGACGTCAAAGATAGGTAATCCAGAGGAATCACATTGGGCATGTAATAGAAAAAAGATGAGATTGTGTCCAATTTAATGTCAACTTAAATGACTGTTCAACAAGGCTGCCACCTGTAGTTTAAATGCTACCCAGGTTTGCTACATGCAGATGCAGATCGTGTCCCCACGTTCCCCCTGCTGGCAATGGCCTTGCCTCTCCTTGTCAAACAGATCCCTCTTTTTTTTTTTTTAATTTTTTGACAGGCAGAGTGGACAGTGAGAGAGAGAGACAGAGAGAAAGGTCTTCCTTTGCCGTTGGTTCACCCTCCAATGGCTGCCGCGGCCAGCGTGCTGCGGCCGGCACACTGCGCTGATCCGATGGCAGGAGCCAGGTACTTATCCTGGTCTCCCATGGGGTGCAGGGCCCAAGCACTTGGGCCATCCTCCACTGCACTCCCGGGCACAGCAGAGAGCTGGCCTGGAAGAGGGGCAACCAGGACAGAATCCAGCGCCCCGACCGGGACTAGAACCTGGTGTGCCGGCGCCGCAAGGCGGAGGATTAGCCTAGTGAGCCATGGCGCTGGCACAGATCCCTCTTTGAGACATGGAGGACATCTCTCTGGGCAGCCTTCCCTCAGCCCAAGCCAACCCAAAGAGCTGGAAATGGCCCTTGCAGGCCTCTTGTTCACCCAAAGCTTATCTCTAGCACTGCACCCATGACACTGTAACTCTGTTTGCCACACCCAGCAATGAGTTCCCAGGGAAGATGTGTTTGTTTTTTGCTTACCGTTGACTCAAGTGAACATGATAGGTATCCAATCAGTGAAATTTAATGAGTGGGTGAGTAAATGCATTCTTTAAAAAAAAAAAAAAACCTTTTAAACATATATTTGAGAGGCAGAGACAGAGAGAGACAGAGACAGAGAGAGAAAGAGATCCTGCCTACTGGTTCACTCACCAAATGCCTACAACAGCCAGGGCTGGGCTGAGTAGAAACTGGGAGATGAGAGCTCAATCCGGTCTCCAACACAGGCAGCAGGGACTCAACAACTTGAGCCATCACCTGCTGCTTCCCAGGCTCCGCATTGGCAGGAAGTTGGAGTCAGGAGCTGGAGCTGGAGCTGCGAATGGAATCTAGATACTGTGACATGGGATGTGAACATCCTAGCCACGAGACCAAACACCTCCCCCAGTAAACGTATTCCTACTACTGAGTCTCAGGCCAGGAAGAAGTGCCTTCTAGACAGCTGCACTCACAGGAGTTTCAGTTGGAGGAAGAGATTGGGGGGGAAATCCTACCTGAAAAAGCTCACAGAAAACCAGAGTCCAAGCAGTTTTCTCTCTCAGGTGTCAAGAAACTGGGTCACTACCCATGGATACTAATGACCGAAGAGTTAAGTTTTTGGTGGTCTGAATCAGATTTGGGAAATAATTCTGGAAGTAGAACAGCTACTAAAGACATGCAGTTCAGTCCCCTCCAGTTATAAATAAAGCCACTCGATACAGGGTGTGAATTCCTTATCCTATCTGCTTGGGACCAGAAGTGTTTTGGCTTTTGAATGCTTTCAGATATTTTAATATTTGCACATACACAATGGGACACCTTAGGGATGGGACCCAAGTCTAAACACAAAAATTCATGGATGTTTTGCATGTCCCTGATACACAGCCTGGAGCTAATTTTATATATTTTTGGTGCACCTGTGTTTTGACTGTGACTCAAGGGCAGGTGTGGAACTTTTCACTTGTGGCATCATTCAGTGCTCAGAAAGATTCCAATTTTGGAGTATTGTGGATTTCAGAGGTTCAGACAGAGGATGCTCAACCTGTACCACACACTGGTACCACACACACGGGTAGTGGGAGCAGAAGGTTCTCCTTTAGCTGTTCCCTCCCTGTCTGTTGTCTTTCTGGAGTTTTCTCCATTCCCATCCCACCCTGAAGCCTCTCCAGGCTATTTCTCTATCCTGACTTAGGCCGCTGCCTTAAGGAGAAGGCTGGTCCTCTCTCTCTCTGTCTCTCTCAAGTTCTGGTCCTGGGCGCTTACTCCCTCAGGGCCTCCTACCCTAGGAAAATGACTGACGCTGAGTCTATATTAACTCAGCCTATGACATAGGTCCCTTATTCTCTCATACTTGCTCAGCCCTGCTGCCAAAGAACTCTGCTGAAAGATTCACCAGGCAAAGAGCATTAGTGTCATCTTTAATACTGGCAAATGACAGAGGCACAGGAATTCAAAGAGAACTTCCTACTGGCAAGTCAGCCCCCAGAATAGCAGCACTGATGAGGGAGCCAGCTAGAGCATGGCTAGGAAAGAGAAGCTAATCCCAGGGAAAGCAGGTCTTACACAGTCACCAGTCCAGGACAGTCCAGAAAAGCAAAGGGGCATGAGCCTCAGGCACCTGCCTCCAGTGTGGTGCTAAGATAACCAGGAAATCCAGAGAGCTAAGAAGGCAAAAATCCAAGTCCATCCTCGTTCGCCTTGTTGGCTCGGAGGGCACATCTCACGGTCTGAGAGGAACCCAGGCTGGGTGGACAGAGCGTGTTACTGGAAGGGTCAGCTTGCCTGAGGATTGTGGAGCATGCAGGTCACGGAGGTGCAGGTGGAGCAGAGGCTGCCAGAGCACCCATTGAAGAGTCCCCAGTTCACCTGTAGGGGATGCCACCAGGGCTCCGATTACACAGGACAAGACTACCGGAGACCAGGTGCTCTGCAGCCACCGGGGTCCATGCAGGCCAGGCAGTGACAGGCACATCTGCATGGCAGTCTCTGGGCAGATAGCAGCACCTGCTTAAGGAAGGCAGAAGCCGTCTTTCTGTGGGGTCCAACGACGGGACTACTGAAGACGGAAAGGGCTCCCTGGTTTTCATACGTGTACCAACGCTGGGGCAGGGCAGCCCGAGCAGGTGCTGAGCCTCCGCTCTGCCTTTCGGGAGGATGGGGCCAGCAGACATCCCAAGGAGCATCTTGGTTTCCCCTTGACGTGTCCACCTGGCTCACAGATGTCTTTTTAGAGCAGAGGGACTCACAGGAGAAAACACAAACTTCTGCCTGCCTATGAGGTGAAACACCTGCTGCTTGTACTTTCCTACAGTCCATTATTTAAGCTTTTCCAAAGGTGGGATATATATCCTTTTCCTCCTAACACACACACACACACACACACACACACACCCCTCCATTTCAGGCTCACCCACGGTGCTGTTTGAGACAGGACATCCCAGACAAAAGGGTTTCAGTGAGGACCACAGAGGAGAAAGGTCTTCTCATTGTGGCTGGAAACAAGTAGAGAACAACTGGGGACCTGAGAGAGGCAGGTGGGAGGCGAGGGCAGTCAGAGGGCTCTGGGGGCCGTCCTGCTCTTACACCTCATCTTGGGCAGAAAAACCAACTAGAGCTGCCACATGGCCTAGAACACAAGTCGGGGGGTGTGAAATGAGCTGTTGGGTGCAGAACAACGAGAACCTCTGCTTACACCAGCGTCGCTCAAATGTTCATGGAATGTGAAGTCAAAAGATCAATTTATCTTCATACAAAAATGCTTTCCACTCTCTGCCTTGTTTTTCTGTAAAACATGTCTGCCATGAGCTTTATGAAGACCTCAGAAGCAGACTCTTCCCCACAGCTGCCTCCCGGCACCTCTGCAAGGGGTCACACGCCACTCCCTCCTCACTCTGCCGCACACACGCCACTGTAAAAGCACATGTTTTTGTAAACTCATATATTATGTTCACTAGAAAACATACGAACATAGGCCAGCGACGTGGTGCACTGGGGTAGGCCACCGCTTGCAACACCAGCATCCTATATCAGAACCCCAGTTTGAGTCTCAGCTACCCCACTTCCAATCCAGGTCCAAGCTAATGCACCTGAGAAAGCAGATGAGGGCCCCTGTCACCCACAAGGGAGCCAGGATGGGTTCCTGACTCCTGGCTCCTGGCTTTGACGTGGCCCAGTCCTGGCTGTTGCAGCCATTTGGGGAGTGAACCACATCTCTCTCTCTCTCTCTCCTCTATCTGTAGCTCTGCCTTTCAAATAAATAAATAAATAAATCTTTTTAAAAAAGACAGAAGACAAACATGCAAACTGTTACAGGAGGAAGTTAAGAAACGAACACAAGGAGCAGTATCATCCTGAGAAGGTCACTTACTCTCTTTGAAGGGATGATACATGGAGATTTTTCATGGACCTTAAAAAGTCTGTCCCCAGAAAGTATTGTACCAAACAGGAAATCAAAATTCAACAGAGTAAAGTGAAACTATGAGTTAGCACAATGCCTGCTGGAGAAATCACTTAGTGGTAACAGAGAGAAATATGCAGAGCGATTCAACCACAGGCACAAGGAGATGCGAACTGAATGAAAAGCTATGTGACTCCTTTTAAGTATACAGTAACACAGTCACCGGGGCCTCCTTTAAGAAAGGCTTCAAGCTTGCGCAACTCGATTTTTTTTTTTAGTCAATATTTTTCTTTTTTGTGGACATTCAACACCAATGGCTAGATATTGGAACAGTTGGGGCCAGTGTTATGGTGCAGCTGGTTAAGCCACCACTTTTGACGCCAGCATCCCACAACAGAAAATAGGTTCAAGTCCTAGCTGCTCCACTTGTGATCCAGCTCTTTGCTAATACACCTGGGAAGGCAGTGGAGGATAGTCCAAGTACCTGGGCCTGATACCCGTGTGGAATTCCAGGTTCCTGGGCTTCAGTCTGGCCCAGCCATGGCCTTTGTAGCCATCTGGGGACAGAGCCAACAGATAGAAGATCACCTTTGTTCTGTCTCTCTCCCTCCCTCTCTGTCACCTGCTTTTCAAATAAATGAATAAATAAATCTTAAAAACAAAAAGAAATTGGAGCACTTACTAATCAGTGTCAAGAAATGATCTGTAAGTGCACAAACAGGAACTTAAAAACTCCTCTTACCTTTGGGGGAAACGCCCTGCAGGTAGTCTTTGATTTGGGATGGAGTAAAGGAGTTTAAAATCATTAGGACGTCCAGGTAGGCCTTCCCGTAGTCGCTCTGGTATATGCTCTGCTTCTTGGTGCGCTCCTGATTCCTCATGAAACTGTGCAGCACAGAGGGGACTGCAAAAGACACAGGTGAGCAAGCTACTGGGCTGCCAGCTCAGCCAAGACTTCCTGTCCTGACTGCATAGACGCCCACCTGTCAGCCCTGAGCCCGACTGGAGTGTCACCAGCAGGCTTCACGGTACTGCAAACCAAGGCTCCACTGATGCCTCCAGGGATGGCCTGTGCTGAGCAGCCGGCACTCCCGCTGTTGGGAGTGCGAGGAATGGGAGGCAGTGGCTGGAGGGCGAGGTTGACCGCCGTGTTCGGAATGGGAGTTCTCCCTCCTCTGCAGGTCAGCGGGCTAGGATGGCAACTGCCACCAGCTGCTTATCTAACACACACCAGCCTTTGGAGAAGCTCCTTTGTCTATCAGGACATCATCTGGCACACTCAGAGACCTCCCCCGGGACCTGGGCACCTTAGGATGACCCGTTTGGAAGAACAATGCTACATGTGCTCAACACTGGAAGTGTGAGGTGCAGGCATCCCCAGCTCGCTCGTATTTGTTTCTGAATATTGTTCATTTGATATGGGCTCCAATATTTATAGACCCATCATGAAAAATAATAATGAAGATGTGTTATGAAAACCTAACTTCTACAACTTGCTCTGTCTTTGTAAACCTTTATAATACCTTAACCGCTATGTCTAGTTCCAAGTGTCCCCTAGAAAGGGGCATTGGTCAAATGGAGGGAGCAGACTGGTGAGGGATTTACTGCTACATCCCTAGGACAGTATCTGTGGGTGTGGAACTGTCTTAACTGGAAAAGGCAGCACATATGCATGTCCTATCAGTGCATTTTGCTGGCATGCGATGGGGTTTTCATAGAATGATAGTTACACTAGTGAACTTCAATTGGCAGAAGCAGAGCCAATGGGCAGCAGTGGAGCAAGGGATCTTCCAACTGTTGGAATTTCAGTTGGGACATCTGACAAGGATTGAGCTGCCTTGGGGGAGGAGGTGCCCTGCTGAAGCGCACCAGGGACAGAGTCAGCCCTTGGCAGGATGGGATGGAGGCGGTCCTCAGATAACCCAAGACTCCAGACCAGTGACTTCTTGGCTGCCCTGTCTCCCCACTTTGCTGAACTTCCACTCTGTAATGTTAGTCTCAAGTACGACTTGACCCCAGCTGTGTTCCAGGAATAAATCAGTCTCAGATGCACACCCAGCTATCTTTTTAACCATGCTTGGGGGTGACTTAGTCATGGAATTTTTAAAACTTCCATCTTGGAAGCACTAGGACTGAGAACCACAAAGGAACATTCATTTCAATGGCGGGAGCCAAGTCTGGAAAGATTTGCTGGGTGTGCCCTGTGCAGACCCTCCCGGTGAGTAACTGACAAGTCCTCTCTGACTCCTACCCAATTCTCTCTCTCTCTCTCTCTCTCTCTCTCTCTCTCTCTCACTTCACAGCAATCATATCCTTCCTTTCATTAGGAGGAAGTCTTCCCCACCCCCACCTCTGCCCTTCCAGGCTGGGGCTTTGCTGGGGTCACAGCACAGGCAATCAATCAGTCCTCTCCTGACAGGCAGGTGTTCCTGGGTTTGAGGTTGGGATCCACAGCCCAGGCTCCGATTCCATTCCAAGACCACGGCTTCCCCCTGCCTGCAGTCCAAACTGGCTGCCAGGGCCCTCTGCATTGAGGAATCATGGAACAAGGCGTGGGTTCTGTGAAACTGGTTCCAGGCTACAGGCGTACTTACCTAGACCCTGAGAAGCAATGGGCAGGCTTGAATAGCATCCATATTTGAAGCTAAAATCCTGCAGCTCTGGGATTTTTGCTGGAGTTTGGTAATTCCGTCGAAATTCAGTGTCAAGAGGTCTGGGAATCAACTTTTTCCATTCGAGAGACACTGGAGAACTTTTCTTAACCTTCTGAGCTGGGGTAGGGGTGGAAGCAGAAGGCAATAGTTATTTCTAGCTAGCCGTCCACTCTGCTGTGCTGGTGGCAGCAGCTTCCAACTGCTCACACTAAATCCCACTCTTCTTGTATTTGCAGGTGTAGTTTTTGTGCGTATGTTAACCAAAAACTAACTTTCTGCTTTACCAGCCATAGGAAGAATGCAAAAAATACTTTAAGAAGTGCACAGAAAATTGAATTAGAAGATGAGTTTAGGGATGAAGTTAGCAGCTAAGACGCCAGTTAAGAGGCACACATCTCGCATCTGAGTACCTGGGTTCAGTTCTCGGTTCCAGCTCCTGATTCCAGTGTCCTGTTAATCTGTACCCTAGGAGGCAGCAGTGATAGCTCAGGTAGTCTGGATTCTGCCACCCACATGGGAGACCTGGATTGAGGTCCTGGCTCCCGGCCTTGTCTGTTGTGAGCATTTGGGAAATGAATCAGTGGATGGTTTTTTTTTTTCTTTCTCTCAAATAAAAATAAATTTTTATGAAGTTTATTTTTGTATTTTAAAAAAAGCTCATAAAATGCATATTATGAAAACCATCTGCATGGATTTCAAAATTACTGAAGTAAATTATACTAATCTTATTTTATTTTAAAGATTTATTTATTTATTTGAAAGGCAGAATTGCAGAGAGGCAGAGGCAGAGAGAGATATCTTCCATCTGCTAGTTCACTCCCCAAATGGCTGTAACAGCTAGAGCTGGGCCGATCTGAAGCCAGGATCCAGGAGCTTCTTCTGGGTCTCCCACACCTGGTGCAGGGGCTCAAGCACTTGTGCCATCTCCTATTGCTTTCCCAGGCCACAGCAGAGAGCTGGATCGCAAGTGGAGCAGCCAGGTCCCAAACAGCAGGATGCTAGCACAGCAAGCAGTGGCTTTACCTGCTATGCCACAGAGCCAGCCCCTATACGAATCTTTTAACTCCATTTTCCATGAACTTTTGTAGCTACTCTCGTATACCCACATGGTTAGGAGTGGTTTCTTCTCTCATTTTTAAAACATTCTTTACTCCAAAAAATCAAAAATTAACAAATGCTGGCAAGGATGTGAAGAAAAAGGCCCCCTAATACTGTACTTTCACTGCAGACTTTTTTCCCCCAAATAAACCTTTTATTTAAAGAATACAAACTTCATGCATTTCATATATGCAACCTTAGGAATATAGTAATTCTTCCCATCATTTCTGCTCTCCCACCCACTCACTCCAACCCCTCCCCCTCCTCCCTCTCCTATCACCAGTTCTATTCTCCACTAAGATCCATTTTCGATTAACTTTATAAACAGAAGACCAACTCAATACTAAGAGTTCAACAATTTGCATGAAAAACACAAAAACAACAAAAAACTGTTCCTCAATAGTCAAGACAATGGCTGTTCAAAGTCGTTGCATCTTGAAGTTAACTTCACTTTTTTTTTTTAGAAACTTAATTAACTTTTAAGAAGACCCAAGCATGATACATCTTTTACAAGCACTTAGACATAATTATAATACAACTCTTTGAGGACAGAGATCCTGCATGGGAAGTTAGTGCACAGTGACTCTTGTTGTTAATTTAACAATTAACACTCAAGTATGATGTCAGTGATCACACCGGGCTCTTGACATGAGCTACCTATGGAAGACTTCTGAGTCCACAACTCCATTGGTATTTAGACAGGGCCATAAGCAAAGTGGAAGTTCTCTCCTCCCTTCAGAGAAAAGTACTTCTTTCTTTGAGGACCAGTTCTTTTCACTGGGGTCTCACCCAATGAGGTCCTTCATATAGGACAATTTTTACCACAGTGCCTTGGCTTTCCATGCCTGAAATGCTCTTATGGACTTTTCAGCCAGGCCAGAATGCCTTAAGGGTTGATTCTGAGGTCAGAGTGCTACTTAAAACGATTGTCATTCTAAGAGTCTGTTGTATGGACTGCTTCCCATGTTGGAGCATTCACTCCTTTGTAATTCTATCTGTTATTATTACTGGACCCTTAATCCTATCCATATGGTCACTTTCACAATGAAGATGGTATTTTTACCACCCAGCCTAAGGGGATTTGAGATCCCATAACAAGTTTTTAAACTGTACCCTTAGAAGTTAGTCCATAGGAATGTATGCAGAACTACACAGCTTTATAGTTATAAACTTAAGACACTTCATAATTACAACTTTAGGAACATGGTGATTCTTCCCACCATGACCTCCCTCCCATCCAAACTCCTACCCCTCTTCCTCCTCCCTCTCTTATTCCCACTCTTATTTTTTACTAAGATCTATTCTCATTTGACTTTATACACATATGATTAACTATACTAAGTGCTCAACATATATATGTGTATGTATATATATATACATACACACACACACATATATATATATATATATAAACTGTTCCTCAACATGCAAGACAAGGGCTGTTCAAGTCATTCCTTCTCAAAGTGTCAACTTCACTTCTACAGATTGCCTTTTAGGTGCTCTCTTAGTTATCACAGGCAGGGAGAGCATATGGTATTTGTCCCTTTGGGACTGGCTTATTTCACTAAGTATGATGTTTTCCAGATTAATCCATTTTGTTGTAAATGACTAGATTTCATTTTTTTTACCGCTGTGTTGTATTTCATAGTGCACATATTCCATAATTTCTTTATCCAGTCTTCAGTTGACAGGCATTTGGGTTGATTCCATGTCTTAGCTATTGTGAATTAAACTGCAATAAACATGGGCATGCAGATAACCCTTTCATATGCTGATTTCATTTCCCTTGGGTAAATTCCCAGGAAAGGGATGGCTGGGTCATATGATAGGTCTATATTCAGACTTCTGAGGTTTCTTCATATTGCCTTCCATAGTGGCTTTACCAATTTACATTCCAACAAACAGTGGATTGGTATACCTTTTCCCCACATCCTCACCAGCATTTGTTGTTTGTTGATTTCTGTATGAAGGCCATTCTAATGGGGGTGAGGTGAAACTTCACTCAGTTTTGATTTGCATTTCCCTGATGGCTAGTGATCCTGAGCATTTTTTCATGTGTCTGTTGACCATTTGGATTTCCTCTTTTGAAAAATATCTGTTTCAGTCCTTTGCCCATTTCTTCACTGGGTTGTTTTGTTGTTGTTGAGTTTCTTAATCTCTTTATATATTCTGGTTATTAGTCCTTTGTCAGTTGCATAGTTTGCAAACAATTTCTCCTATTCTGTCGGTTGCCTCTTCACTTTCCTGAGTGTTTATTTTGCAGTACAGAAGTTTCTCGATTTGATGTAATCCCATTTGTCAATTTTGGCTTTGACTGACTAGGCCTCTGGGGTTTCCAAGAACTCTTTGCCTGTGCCAATGTTTTGCAGGGTTTCCCCAATGTTATTTAATAATTTGATGGTATTGAGTTATAGATTTAGGTCTTTAATCCATTTTGAATGGATTTTGTGTGTAAGGTGTAAGGTAGGGGTCTTGCCTCATACTTCTTCATGTGGAAATCCAGTTTTCCCAGCACTATTTGTTGAAGAGACTGTCCTTGCTCCAGGGACTGATTCTAGCTACTTTGTCAAATATGTTGATTGTAGATGGTTGGATTGATTTCTGGTGTTTCTGTTCTGTCCCATTGGCCTTCCACCTGTTTTTGTACCAGTACCAGGCTGTTTTGATTATAACTGCCCTGTCATATTTCTTGACATCTGGTACTGTGATGCCTCTTGCTTTGTTTTTGTTGTATAAGATTGCTTTAGCTATTTGGGGGTCTCCTGTGTTTCTATATGAACTTCAGCATCATTTTTTCTATATCTGAGAATGTCCTTGGTATTTTGATAGTATCATGTTGATTCTGTAAATTGTTTTCAGTATTATGGACATTTTGATGCTATTGATTCTTCTGATCCATGAACATGGAAGATTTTTCCATTTTTTTGGTATATTCTTCTATTTCTTTCTTTAATGTTTTGTAATTCTCATCGTAGAGATCTTTGACATCCTTATCCTTGGTTAAATTTATTCCAAGATATTTGATATTTTTGGTAGCTATTGTGAATGGGATTGATCTTAGATGCTCTCTTATAGCCATGACATATGTTGTATTATTGTCTTCATTTGTTTCTGGAAATTTTTTGATATCTATTTTGATTTCTTCCATGACCCATTGTTCATTCAGGAGCGTGTTGCTAAATCCCCATGTGTTTGCATCCTGAATTGCTGATTTCCAGCTTCATTGCATTGTGGTCTGAGAAGATGCACAGCATGGTTTTTAATTTTTTGAATTTGCTGAGACTTGTTTTATGGCCTAGCATGTGGTAAATCCTAGAGAAAGTTCCATGCACTGGTGAGAAGAATGTTAATTCTACAACTGTAGGATGGAAAGTTCTGTAGATATCTGTTAGGTCCATTTGGTTTATAGTGTTAATTAACTCTGTTGTTTCCTTGCTGGTTTTCTGTGTGGTTGATCTGTCCACTGCTAAAAAAGGGGTATTGAAATCCCCCATTACTAATGTATTTGAGTCAATGTCTCTCTTTAGATCCCTTAAAATTTCTTTTAAATAGCCAAGTGCCCTGTAATTAGGTGCATATACATTTAAAATAATTACATCTCCCTATTGAATTGATCCCTTAATCATTAAATAGTGCCCTTCTTTGTCTCTTTTAACAGTTTTTGTGTTAAAGTCTATTTTATCTGATATTAGAATAGCTACACCAGATCTTTTTTGGTTTCTGTTGGCATGGATTATCTTTTTCTATCCTTTCACTGTGTGAAACCTTTGTTGGTGAGATATGTTTCTTATAGGCAGCAAATCGATGATTTTTTTAAAAATCCATTTAGCCAGTCTGTGTCTTTTAACTGGAGAGTTGAGGCCATTCACCTTCGAGGTGACTATTGACAAGTAATGATTTGGACCTGCCATTTTTCCATAAATATTCCTATTGTTTACTTTGGATTTCTTTTGTGCTTTTACTGGGAGATTTTCTGCCTTTCCCTTCTTTCATAGCGATGACCATGTTTCTGTTTGTGT